GTGGTGGAAGATCTTGAATTGCTTTTACTTTATCTGGATCAATCTCGATTCCTTTTTTGCTGACTACAAATCCCAAAAGCTTCCCGGAAGTTACCCCAAAAGTGCATTTAGCGAGGTTGAGCTTTAATTGATACTTTCTCAATCTCTGGAAAAGCTTTCTCAAATTTTGAATATGTTCTTTTTCGGTTCGGGACTTGGCAATCATGTCATCCACATATACTTCAATCTCTTTGTGCATCATGTCATGAAATAAAGTAACTATTGCTCTTTGATACGTTTCCCCTGCATTTTTTAATCCAAATGGCATTACTTTGTAACAGAAAGTGCCCATATGGTTACAAATGTTGTTTTTTCCATGTCCTCATGATTCATTTTTATCTGATTATATCCTGAAAAGCCATCCATGAATAAAAACCATGCATGTCCTGCAGTATTGTCCACCAATGTGTCTATGTGAGGTAATGGAAAGCTATCTTTCGGACTAGCTTTGTTGAGATCTCTGTAATCCACACACATTCAAACTTTCCCATTTTTCTTTGGTACTGGAACAATGTTGGCTACCCATTCTGGGTATTTGGCTGCCTATAGGAAACCTGCATTAATCTGCTTCATCACTTCCTCTTTGATCTGCAACAACATTTATGGCCTTATTCACCTGAGATTTTGTTGAACCGGTTTATATTCTGGACTGATTGGAAGTTTGTGCATCACTATATCTATATTCAACCCAGGCATATCTTGATAAGACCAGGCGAAGATATCTTTGAACTCTTGAAGGAGATTTATCAATTCTTGTTTTATCTGGATTGTCAGAGTAGTACCAATTTTCACCTTTTTCATTTCTTCATCTGTTCCCAGATTTATAGTCTTAATCTCTTCTTTGTGAGGTAAAATTTTTTTATCTTCTTTTTCTACCAGTCTTAATAATTCAGTAGGAACATCACATTCTAGTTCATCCTCACATTCATTGATTTCCTCCAGACATATGGGCTGCTCTAAATTTATCTCTTGATTAAATTTAGGAATAAACATGTTATTAACATTGTAACACCTGCAAATTTAAGTCGGACATATTTTCGAAAGGATATAGTAAATTTATGAAATAAATGAAAAATAATGAATGTAAAAATGTAAAGAATGTAAAGAATGATTGCCATTTGAGAATTTTAAAGAAAATTTATTATATTTGTATTAGGTGAACTTAACATAATTTCCTTTACAAGATAACAAAAAGTTTTAATATTCTTGGGCTAAACATAAAGATCAGTTCTGAATATTACTCTGTGTTAATACTAAAAACTATAGGGAGGTCTTCAGTAGTCCAATTGTTGAGTGTTTCACCAGGAAGACAAGGGCGAATTCCAGCCAAGTACTTGCCAGTCTTGTTGTCATTCGTGATCATGTTGATAACTAATCTTCCCATAGCTTCTTCAACCATGCTTTGATCTTTTGTCGAATTTTCTTCTTTGAGAGCATCAACAAGCTGTTGTTCTACATTAACCATTCCTCCGGATTTAAATGTGGACTTCAAAGGAGAGAAAATATATATGTTCCTAAGGAATTTCTTCTCCCTTCAATTTTGCCCTTCTATTTTCACCTCTTCTTTTCATCTCTTTGTTCCTTTGCTGAAAATTGGGCTTAAATCCCAGCCCAAAGCGATCTTTCTTCATCTTCATACTTACAAGAACTGAACTCCCTTGAAGATTCTTTCCCAAACCTTTTCCAATTTTAGCTCCAATGCCTAAATTCTGTCGTACAGTCATCTTGATGCAATCAGACAAATGTGGAATTTTGCTTCCCTCAGCAATAAAGGTTGCATTAACAAATTCCAAAGCTCGGAAAGAGCATTCGAAGGCATCATCATTGGTTTCAATATACGGAACATCACTTGTTACAGACGCAATGATTTCTTCCTCAGCTCCTACACATATTAGTTGACCATCAACAACGAATTTTAGTTTTTGATGTAATGAAGAAGGAACAGCTCATGTAGAATGAATCCACGGCCTCCCCAATAAACAATTATATGTAGGGTGGATGTCCATCACCACAAAGTCAATATTGTACACAACTAGTCCTATCAGCAGTGGTATTTCCATTTTTCCAAGCACCTCTTTTTGAGTGCCATCAAAAGCTCGTACTACATTTTGATAACTTTTCATGTGTGATTTATCAACCGGCATTCTTTGAAGTGTGACCAGAGGCATCAAGTTAAGGGCGGATCCATTGTCAATCAATACTCCTGGAAAAACATGACCATGACAATGTGTGGTAATATTCAAAGCTTTTACTGACCCCATTCCGCCTTCAGGTATTTCATCATCCGTGAACGTTATGTAATTGTCACCGGCTATATGTCCCATAATTCTGTCAAGCTTGTTGAGGGATATATCTTCAGGGATAAAGGTTTGATTAAGCATTTTCATCAAGGCATTTCTGTGTGCTTCTGAATTCATCAATAGATCAAGAATAGAAATCCTCGCCTGCTGTTTATGTAGCTGTTCAACCACACTATATTCGTTGTGCTTCAGAAACTTCAAAAATTCTTGTGCTTGTTTTTCTGTTACGGGCTCATTGACTGCTAGCGGGGATTTATCATCAAATACCTTTTGGGGTATCATCGTAGCTTTTCCTTTTGCTTTTACCTGTTCTGATGCATTTGATGTTTTGGGAGAGTAACATCTCCCACTTCTTGTAAAGAATCCAACTTCACTCACTGTTTCAGACGTCGAATCCTCACTCTGTATTTTCTCTTCTGCTTTTTCCAGAGAAACAGATCCTCTTACCATTAAAACATTGGTAGTATAATTCCAAGGTACCCTGCGGGTATCCTTATATGGAAAAGGTAAAGGAGTAGTGATAACCACTTTCGGCTTTGTTGGTGCAGGATTCATTGTAGATGATTTCACATTAATAATCATGGGATCACTTGTTCTCTGCTTAGGTTTAGAATCTTCTGATGAGCAAACATCATCTTCTCTTTTTCATGGTTCTTCTTCAAAGAACTCTATCTCTTTATTATTCATCAATTTTTGCACTAAATCCCTAAATTCAGGGCATAGTTAAATTTCGTGTCCCTTCTCTTGATGATATTCACAATAATTCTTGCATTCATTATGCTTTGGCCTGAATTCTTGTGGAATCATACCAGATAAGGAGAGTTGTTGAAATATCCAGCTAAAGGGGGATTTAATCTCAGAAACATCTCTTTTGTCTTTCCTTCTGCTTTCTTCCTGAATCATGTTCACATTTTTGTCTCCATGATTTGGCAGCGGATGATTTGATGTAGCTGGTGAATTGAATTCCAACTTTCCAGTGATGATCAAATTTTGGACCACCCTTTTGAATGCCAAACAGTTTTCAATAGAATGACCCGTGATTCCTTCATGGTAAACACAGTGCGCTTTTACATCATAGCATGGAGGGAATGGTGGTTGCATGGGAACCAACGGATAGGGCCGTATGACATCTACTTTTAACAGCGAATCATAGATCTCAGCATAGGGTACCGGTAAAGGTGTAAAAGATAACCTTTCACTTTCCCTTTGAGATCCTCTGGACTCTACTCGATTAGTGTTTGTTTCTTCTTTCTTAACCCTTGGTTGGGTTATTGTAACACTTTTCGAAGTATCCTTGTTGTAAGAGTTTGCATTGTTGACTTCGTTCTCTTTTTTCCGGTACATAGGTCTTTTAGAACTAGTCCCCTCGTTTGATTCAATTTTGCCACTTTTCAATACATTTTCAATGAGTTCTCCAGCAATGACCAAATCTGCAACATTTCTGGTTGCATTCCCCATTATATGACTTAAATAAGGAGACTTTAAAGTATGGACAAACATTATTGTGGCCTCTTTTTTTGATAGAGGTGGTTGAATTTGGGTTGTTGTATCACGCCATCTCTGAGCATAATGTCTGAATGTTTCGTTATTCTTTTTCTCCAAATTTTGGAGAGTCCATCTATCAGGGACCATATCTGTCACGTGGCGGTATTTCTCTAGGAATGCATTTTCCATATCTTTCCAGGATCTAATGTTGGCTTTGGTCAGTTGAGTATACCATTTTAAGGCTGGTCCTGTCAAGCTATCTTGAAAGTAGTGAATTAACAATTTCTCGTTTTTCACATGTCCTGCCATTCTGTGACAAAACATAGTAATGTGGGATGAAGGGCATGTGGTACCCTCATATCTCTCAAATTCAAGAACTTTGAATTTGATTGGGAGGATTAGGTCTGGAACCAAACTCAACTCACTAGCGTCAAACCCATAGAATGACTCAGTTATTTCTACGGATTTCATTCATTCTTCTAAGCTCCTGATATGTCTGGTCAATTCTTCATTTACTTTTTCTTTCTCATTCAGCTCATTCAAATCTGGGATTAGTTGCTCAATATTAAAATCCCCTATTTTCACATCTGATATAAGTGGATTTTTGCTTGAAGATGCAGGATCCACTTGTTGATTTTCATGTGGTTTGGCCTCTTGAAGTGCTGATGTGCGGGCATGAATTTGTATAGGTATAGTACCAAAGTGATAAATTGGTTCTGGTGGGAAACCTAGAGGATACATAGGTTCTTGGTCGAAATATACAGGATTTTCATGAATTTTTCCAATGATAGCCTACTTTTTGAGCATGTCTTCTATTTTCTGCATCATGTTGTCTTGTGAGTTTGCAATACTGGCTTCAATTTTCTCTAGCTTCATTCTCATATATGCTTGTTCTTTGTTATGTTGTTCCTCAATACGTTGTATTTTATCCTCCATAATTTTCTTAGTAGCTTGTCTAGTACCGTAGTGATGTTGTATTTCTCGTTTGGCCAGAATAACTGCAATTGAAAATTCTTTTGATATTATTTTTTCAAATTTTAATTATTGAATGTTATCTTAATAAAAATTATACATAAATAAAATAATGCAATGAATAATGAATGTATGAAAAATGCATGTATGCAAAAGGTATTGATCCCAAAAAGTTAACTGTCATAGAACAACTTCCATCGGCATACAAAAGTTTCTTTATAATAGTTCATAACTACAGATAAGGCGTAGCTTTCCTATTAAGCTCTATAATTTCTTTCATCAGTCATGACATCTTCTTTCCGAACATAGAAACTGGATCAACGTGGTGCTCAATTATTTTTACTTCAACAGCTAGCTCCCCAACATATCTGGCAACTTCGCTCATTTGTACCATGGCCTCGAATACCATATTGCTTCTTTCTTCACTTCTTTCTATATAGAAATCAGTTAATTTTTGCCATTGTTCATTAGTTCCCTCGAGAGTCTGCTCTAACTCAAAGATTCTGACTTGACAACTGTACAGAGTTTTTTCAAGATCTCTAATGCGTCTTTGCAGTAAAGCACTCTCCTCATTACTTTCTTTAAGATCACTAGGTCCTAGACGAACATTTTCTTGAAATAATGACTCTTCAAGTTGCAAAATGTAAGCATTAAACTCTGAGCTTTTGTTTCTAGATTGATCCAGACCTTCTTCAAGTTTTGTTCGTGCTTCTTGCGTTCTTTGACTAAGCTTCTGGATTTGAACATTCTTGTTTCTGCATCGTTGCATCCAAGTGCAAGCCACTTCTTGCTCTACCTCAAGTCTGGTGTTGAAATTCTTCCTTTTCCAGCTCCTATTTTTCTTTTTCAACATCAAACTCTTCAATATTTTGGCCCCTGGCTTCAAGTTCGGCAATCAGATTGTTCATTTCATATTCAAATCCCTTAAACATGGTATTCTTCTCACCTTCAAATTTATCAAGCATGTCGTTCTCCATCTCTTCTAATTCTTTAGCTCGATCCCTTTCTCTCTGTATTTCATTCATGATCTCATGGCTTTCAGCTTTGTGCTTTATAATTCGCTCCCTTCTATCGACCTCAAAATCCTCCATTTTTTGCTTTCGTTTCTCAAGGCTTTTGAGTAGACGTATATTCTTTCCTTTCAAATCTTCAACTCGACTTTTCTCGATGTTCAATTCTTTGGCCATCTGTACTGTTGATCGGCTCGGTCCTGATGCTTTCCGGGATTTGTATAGCTCATGGTAATTCTTCTTTAACGTTCTGAATTCACCATCAACTCTTTCTTTGTTTTCCCTTAGCATTGCACATTGTGCTGAATGAAAGTCAACGTCAACACCCAACATAGCTTTATCTCGTCTCATTTGCTCTAATTCTTTCGACCAATCTTCTCTTTCTCTTCAAACTCAGCTCTTAGGATTTCAATTTTTGATGGAACCACCTTAATGCGATCTTCCATAGAGATATCCTCATTTTGGTCTGGTAGAGGAATATTTTCATTTTTCCTGATAGATCTCCATTCCTCATAATCGGGAGTTAACATTTCTTTTGCTACTTTAGCTCGAATACAAAAAAGTTGTTTTCCAAGCTGTAAAGGCCTCCATGATATTTCTTTTATAATTTTAGCTGTGGAATGCGAACTCAGGCGAATGTAATCCAGCAGTGACAGGAACAAATTGACGACCTTCATACTGCCTTATGACTAGAAGTGGTGCATATCCAATTCCTCCCCACAATCCGAGCAACATCACCCAGTTGTAATCACCACATTTGTAAAAGAATTCCCTTTGTATTTGCCACGAGGCTCGCCAAACAATGTCATCGCTTTGCAGATTTCGAAAGGCATTAATCCACATATCTTTCGTAATTTCTTTCGGTCATTCTTGCTCCAAAAATTCTTTCAATGGTGAGTAGTCCGTATTAAAGCGCCGATATAAAACCTTTTCTGTCCTCCAAAAATGGCTACGGATCCAGACATATAACAATTGGGCACATCCTGAGAATCGTCCACCTCCTAGCTTTCTACAAGCGTTTAACGATCTGAAAGTCTCTGCTAGAATTGCAGAAGCGAATTAACCCTTTTTGGTAGCTTCTCAAACAAATCTACTACTGCAGCTTCAATATATCCCAATACTTTCGAGAAAATGACCATACCATACATACCCAGAGCAAAGAGATCGAATCGTACTTTATCATCTGGATGACTCTGAATAAGTTCTTTAATGTTGGTCCAAGCAATGCCTTCGCTTTCGCCCTTTTGTTTTGTACGGGATACCACCCATTCCTCTCGTACTCCGGCAATCTTTGCTAATTTAACTCGAAATGGTTGAGTTTTAATTGACTTTGAATAAATTCGATTCTCCAAAGCCCCTTCTATATGTAGCAAAGTTGTGTACTCTTCAATATTAGGAACCAAGTCCTCATTATTGAAAGTGAAGCAATTGTACCCTGGATTCCAGAATTGAATTAGGGCTCGAAGTAAGTCATCATAAACTTCGACATAGAGCAAATATGGGATGTCCCCGTAAGTCTGATAAAACTGCAACTTTTTGTTTGAGTCCTAACTCTCCCAAATGCTTCGCAAATCTTGCATATCATTTCTTTTTAGAGAAAATGGAGCATAACTGGCTAACTCAGATACATAGTCATCTTGCAGACTATCTCCCCCTTCTCTTTGTAAGTCCTCAGCCCACTGTCTTACTTCTGAGTTTAGAACTATTTGATTTGAACACTTTTTATCCATGGATGAAGGTTTTCCAATGAGACGATTAACACGAGGATCAATGCCTTTTATCCTGTATGATGTTATGCAAACAGAAGAAATAAATAACACACAAAAAGAAATGAATTAGTATACATAATAAAGGAAAAAATTAATTTAATAATAATGTCTACCTAAATATCTTTATTTAAACATGCTTTCTTCATACTTTAAATAATTTAAATTCACATGCAATTTATTTAGTAAGAAAATAAATAAATAAATAAATTAAAATGAAAAGTTAGAATTCATTTCTCCTGTGTGTACACCTATTTTGGACAAAATTTTGTCATGGCTTCAAATCGGAAGAGTTTCTAGGGTTTATTATATACAGGGTTTCAGATCTAAGAATAAAGGTACCCGAATTGTCCTTGTTAGTGCCCCCTTGGGCTGCTAACCCTCAATCCTAGTCCATCACAGACTAAACTGGATCGAGTTCAATTCGAGAGGATACACTTCTCTATGCCTGACACGGAGAATAAATTCTCACGAAGACGTAGAGCATATAAACCCCGAAAGTTACTTGCTAGGTCTGACACGGAGAATAAATTCTCACGAAGATGTCGCTTTCACTCCCACTTAAAAGGGACAAGCTTGATTAAAAAGCTTATGTTATGCAATGCATGTGTTGTGTGTGAGGAGAAATGTTCATACCTCTGACAAAAAAATAAATAATGAAATTTACTACTTGAAAAATAAAGCATTAATAATATAAATATTATGAAAATAATAAGTAATAAAAATTTTGAAAGAAAAGAATTAAAAATATGAATTTTTAATTGATAGAGACAATCTATAATTGATTTTAAAGTTTGACCGTCCCCAGTGGAGTCGTCAAGTTGTCGTAACCGGTTTTCGCCTGGGCACGAATTTTTTTACTTGGTGGGAAAATAATGTGGATAAAAAATAATTTTGATTTAATAAATGTTTTGGGAGTCGCCATCGGCCTTTTGGGTTAGGTAGGTCTAATACCTAAAAATTATCTTTTAAAAGAGTTTTTAAGAAAACATCAGCTAAAATATGAACTGATCTGCGTTTATAACCAAAAATTCATTCTTTTTATTAATCAAAAGGGATTAGTGGTCGGTTACGTTTGGGGAAGGATTAGCACCCCCACAACGCCCAAAATTGGTACTTATTAATTATAAATTGTCTCTATTATTGGAAATTTAAAAATTCAAAAATATATTTAATTCATAATCTATTATTTCAAAGTTATAATTATATAAAAAATATATTTATATATAAAATATAAAAAAAATATTTATTTATTTATTTAGAAATATCAGAAAAGGACTTCTAGGTGCCTTAAGACAACTCTTTTCTTTGATATTAAAAAATAAATAATAATTAAAACATTTTTCTAAAAATAATATATAATTTAAAAAATATGATATTTATTTATTTAAAAATATTAGAAAATGGACATCCAGTTATTTTAAGACTGCCCTTTCTTAATATTGAAAAATAAATAAATATTAAAACATGATTAAAATAATTTATATTAAAAATAAAATAATAATAATTAATATTTAAATTAAAATTAAAATATAACTAAATAATGACTAAAATAAATAAAAATAAAACTATAATGTTAAAATATAAAAAGTAATAAAACTTGTAGTTAAAATAAATGAAGATATTAAAATTAATGACTAAATTAAAATATATTAAAATTAAATACCCTAATTTGTAATATTATGAAATATAATAACTAATAGTGTAATTTAACCTTAATTATTTATTCAGGGCTAAAATATAATTAATTAAAATTATAGGGGACTAAAATGAGTATTTACCCTAATATATATAAACACTGGAAAGGACTAAAACATAATAAAATAATATTGGAAGACAAAATTAAAATATCCAGAAAAATAATTCTGGTGACTAAATTGAAAAGGTTACAAACTGGGATGACTGCGCGTATGGTTTGGCCATGCACGAAATTATAGATATACCCCTCCCAAAACGACGTCGTTTGGGAAGGGGTATAAATACCCTGAAATGGCCGGCCCTTCGGGCCATTATCTCATTTTCTTCTTTCTCTCTTCTCTCTCTAATTGAGAGAGAATTATAAATGCTCTGACCTCTCTCTTCAATTCCTTCATCGGAGGGAATTGAAGTTCGGCCGACAGCCACGCTCCAACGCCGACCACAACCGCCGACCACCGTTATCGGTGGTCGAAAAATTCTAAAATCTCTCAAAACATAGATCGGGACGACCTAAAATCGAATCTGACCCCCTTTTCCCACAAAGCATCTCCTATTTACATAGATCTACAAAAAATACCTTCGGTATTTTGCTTCTACGGCGGCCTATGAACTCCGGTGGTGTCGCAGCTTCTTCGGTAAGGCTTATCTCAATTTTTGTTTCGATCTTTTGATGGTTTGGTTGCTGTGTTCTCTGGCTTGCCTCTTCTCTCCTTTGTAGGGGACTCGGTCGATGGTTTTATAACCATCACCGGAGCTTATCTTGGACCGTGTAAAAGAGTGGTAGTTTGGTGAGTCACCGGACTTGTGGTGACTCACCGAGGAATGGCGACGCGTGTGCGGCTGGAGTAGCTCTTCTGGAAGCTTTCGACGGGACGTGGCAGCGGCGAAGCAACGTGAATATTGTGGAAGCAACAGCGGCGGCCACGTGTTCCCTAGGGTATCATAACCCTAGGATTTCTTGCTGGAGCGTCTAGGGACCGTTGGATCATGCCAGATCCAACGGTTGATGATGAGGCAGCTAGGGCACAGAGATGATAGAAAACCCTAAATGGGTTTAAGGTTTATTACTATTGGACCGGTCTGGGTTGGTCTCTTATAATTGGGCCGGTCCAGTTTTGGGTCTGTAATAATAACTTAATTAATAATAATAATAAATAATAATAATAATATAATAGTAAAAATAAAATAATATTAATAATAATATAATAATATTATTATTTATAATAAAAAAAATGTATATAAAAAAATTAGTATCTTCAATAAGTGTTTAAAGTTTTTTCCATTACATTTTTAGGTGTCTACCATTAAATAAATTCGTTAAGTGGCATATGTCAGTTAACAATTTTTTTAATAAAATATTATTTAAAAATATTTTTAAAAAAATAGATGTAACACGTGTTACTTGACGTTTTTTTAACAGTAAACACTGAAAAATATAAGAGAAAAAACTTTAAATATTTATCTTTAATAAAAAAATCTTTAGACAATAAAATTTAATTTTAGGTATAGTTTAATCACTATTAAGTGATTAGTTAATAATATCACAGTTCCCGGGGGTAAAAAAACAGAAGCTCAATCAGTCTCCAATGATGAAAAAAAGGTTTATTCTGACTAAAAGGAAAGGATTATCAAAAATTTTCAATATATGTCTATTAAAGATCAAACTTTAAAGAAATTTGTAATTATAAACTCATTGAAACTAAAAAAGAAAAGTAGTACTAATAATCAACTAACCTACCATATGAAAACCCAAATCCAAGTGCCCGGCTGAATCTGGTCCTTTTGCCTTCCTTTCTCTTTCTTCCAAGTTTTAATCTCCCCTCTGAGAACCCAGAGAATCTGTGTGGGTTTCACTGCCGTTGGAGTAAATCCTGAATCCTTCAGAGACCCTTTATGGGTTCTTTTCCATTACCTTCAAAATTGTATAAATTCATGTTTTTTTCCAAGTTCTCAGTTCCATTGACAAAGACGAATTTCTTTTAGAGGCAATGTAGAAGACAGAGTAGATTGCTTTTGCAGTGTAGATGATGGTGGCTGCATTTCCTCATCCACCTACTCCTTCGCAGTCCCCTGTTGAAGAACCAAATACCCATCAAGAAGAAACCTCAACCTCAACAATAAAAAGGCCTCCTTTCAAAGATAATGGCTTTAATGTCACGAGAAAACCCAGAGGTAGACAAGTTTCTTCGAGGTATATGTCTCCTTCTCCTTCCACTTCTTCTTCTTCTTGTTCAGCAGCAGCAGCAACAACAATGGCAGCCAAAACGAACGCAAGATTTGCTTCACCACTTATATCTCGTTCCACTAATGCGAGATACCCTTCTCCGCTTGTTTCTCGTTCAACAAATGCTACTTCCACTTCGACAGCGACTTCAACTATGTTGCCTTCGGTTCCTAAACGGTCTCAATCTGTGGACCGGAGGCGGTCCGGGGGTCAAGTGTCACATGGAAACAGTGGTGATGCCACGGAATTGTCAGCTACTTCCAAGATGTTGATTACTTCTACGAGAAGTTTGTCGGTTTCGTTTCAAGGTGAGGTCTTTTCACTTCCGATTAGCAGGACAGAGGCTCAAGTTGGTCCTTGTTTGATTAGGAAAGCAACGCCTGAAAGGCGTAGAGCCACTCAAGTGAGAGATCATGGGATAACTCAAAGCCAGTGGATCAGCTCCGGTGGCCTGGGAGAACCCGGCAACTGAATCCGGGTTTGGGTTCGAATCCGTTGTATACAAACTTAGATTCTAGTGGTGAAAGGAGAATGGTTGGATCTGGTGCAATGCTGGCCAAAACATTGCAACAATCAATTGTGCTTGATGACAGTATTAGGAGGGCTTCTTTAGATGGTGCTAGTAGGTTGAGTTTGGATTTGGGAAGTGCTGCAGAGTTGCTAGAAGAGCCTAACAAGCAAAATCCAGATTCTAATTCCATAAACGAGGCTTCTTGTGTCTCTTGTGATCTCACTGCTTCTGACACCGATAGTTTGTCTTCTGGAAGCACTAATTCTGGCAAGCATTACAACGGAGGAAGTGGGATTTCGAAAGGGAGGATCCGTCCCCGTAATATTGCAGTGTCTGCAAAGCTTTGGCACGAAACTAATTGTTGGTTGAGGCGGTTACACGATCCGGGTTCGCCTTTATCTACAAGCCCTGGCTCTAGAATTGGTGCTTCAGCTAAGTCCAGCCAGTCGAAAAGTTTTTCTAGTAGTGATGGTTCCGTGTTGTCTCCGCGGACAATGGCTTCTCCTATTAGAAGAGGTACAAGGCCTGCTTCTCCTAATAAGCTTTGGACATATTCAGCTTCTTCTCCATTGAGGGGGCTAAGTCCTGCTCGTGTGAGAAATGCTGTTGGCATTCAGATGATTGGTAGTACTTCCGTTAAGTCCCCTTCGATTCTTAGCTTTTCTGCTGATATTTGGAGAGGAAAGATGGGGGAGGATCAGATTGTTGATGCACACATGTTGAAGCTTCTTTATAATCGATATTTGCAATGGAGATTTGCAAATGCAAAGGCAGATGCTACTTTCATGGTGCAGAAACTGAGTGCAGAGGTATGTTAAATAGGTCCTCTCTGTCTCGATTGTTTTCAGTATGATCAATATACATGTCTACTTGATTTTTGTTTGTGATATTTGGCGAATCCTCCAATTTAGTTCATGCTAATAGTTTCCAGTCAAACTGAAAGCTGGCTTCTAATGCTATTTGCAACTTACATTTGGCTCGATTATAGTGAACATCATGTATTCTTGTCAAATATGGCATTATAAAACTTATGTATGTGCTATTTTGCTGAATTTATATACTAAGAAGGTTCCATTTTTTTTATGTGAGTGTTTTTTGTCTATTTTACGTTCTAAGAGATAAGATTTAGAGACGTAAGGATCTTGAGGCTATTTATTTTCTCGTTTTGAATGGTTAAATGCTAGAAATGATCAACGATTTGCTGCTAACTAAAAATATAGGTAGTACACGAGGCAGCTTTGGCTTAATACTTATCAACACAGAATGATGTAAAATCACTGAAAGATGTAATACCAAATGAATGTTCATGAGCCTCTTTTTCCCTCTACTACGATTGTATGAGAGTACTTATAAGTAGCTTTATTTGCTTAAACTTGAGTAGAATTTTGCTCAAACTTGTGTATCTTGCTTGTCATAACTATGAATTGTAAAGAGCTTTTCACGCTCTCTTTCTGCCGGCTGTTATAAAATTTGCACAATGGAAGGTTTAGTGGACTTAGTGGGAAAAGGTGGAGATTATTGATAGTCTACAGAATTATTAAACCATAGATTTGAGTCAGCATTTGTCATCAACTGCCCCTTGATACTCTTATTCTATTATCAACTTGAGAGAAGCAAATGATACCAACTATACATCAGTTGAAAGGGCCTACTAAAAAATTAGAATACTGGTAGAATTAGAAAGATTGCTTGGATTCTAATAACCTTTAATATGTAAGCACTTCTCCGGTAATTGAGAATTATTGTTAGGAAAGTTGGCCTACTGGGGTTTTCTGTATGATAAACAGGAATAGTTCAGTTTTGTTTATTGATAATAGTGATTTGAGTTAACATGATGAGGTGTAATAAGTCTGGTATGTAAATCTCTAATGTTCCTGCTTGTATACCAGAAAAATCTGTGGAGTGCATGGCTAACAACTTCAGAATTGCGGCATTCTGTTACCCTTAAGAGAACCAAGCTGCTTTTGCTGAGGCAAAAATTGAAATTGACTTCCATCCTGAACGGACAAGTAAGATTCAAAGCTTCACATTTTTAAAGTATCGAATCGAATCCCTGTTGACCTTTCCTTAGGCACAACCACCTCAGCTATCTTATTATGTTTTTACCTTCATATTATTGTGTTGTACTTGTAATTCATGTCTGTGGATATGCTTTCATACCTGAGAACAAAATTGCTTCGGTGTTAATTGACTTCCATATATATGAAAATGAAAAAGGCAACATTTTTAGGAATACTGTTTATTATAACGAGATTATCAAAAGCAGGACTTGGGTGTTGTAATGAGCAATTTATTAGTTTTTAGCAATGGTCCAAGGGAGCTTCCTGGCCTTTCCAGTCACGTCACACCGTGAGTAGTTACTGAATTTTAGTTCTAATTAAGACAACTAAAAGATTGAATAAAGGAAAGTTGGATTATTTTTTCTTGTATGTAGTAGTGAATGGTTCAGTTGTAAGATTATGTTGGAATTTCATTCACTTTTGTAATCAGAGGAGACATAGAATCAATCAAATAAGAAATTAAGGGAAGTCGGGAAGAGAAAAAAATTCTATTTTATTTTCAACCTCAGAAGGAAAATAGCTGTTTCCTTCAGTTTGGTGTTGTCCATTCTCAACTGAATGCGTCTCTTAGAACAGTTCTATTCCTTTTTGTTCTCAATATGCTATATGCTGGCTTCTGTAGCATGAGTTTTCTTTTCCTCATGACTAAAATTTCATTATAATTGGTGAGTGTAGATAGGTTTTTTAGAAGCATGGGGACTCCATGACAGAGACCTCTCTACTTCTTTGCTAGGAGCAACTGAAGCTTTAAAGGCCAGTGTTCTTCGCCTTCCGGTTGTTGGAAAAACAATAGTAAGTTTCTTCCTATCTCTGTTTTCCCAGCTTTTCAATATCCCATCTATTAACAATTCAGCTCATGACTATCAGTGTGGTTTAAAATATCACTTTTTTTTCTCTTCCCTTTCACCGTGTTTTCTCACAATAGACAGATATCCAAAATCTGAAGGATGCTGTCAGCTCTGCGGATGATGTGATGCAAGCAATGGCATCCTCAATATACTTGCTATCATCAAAGGTGAATTTCATTAACTAAATCTTGTAGGCATTGGTGTTACAAAAACAAATCATTAAATTCTTGAGCTATGTTCTTGTTGTTGCCTATTAGTTCATTCTTGATTTACTAGTTTTCTTTGATACTTATAGTTATCTGATTGTGCCAAATGTAATTTGTAAAGGCTTGACCACAGCTTTATAACAAAGCTTAAGATGTTTAGGCTTTGATTGATAGAGTTGATAAAAAAATGGAAAGGTTCAAAATTGGGAGCAAAAACATGTGAATATTTATGTGTACACACACTTTCCATACATTCTTGATAGAGAAAATGGAAAAGTGGATATGTAAATCTAATTGTTTTTTTGTTTGGTAGAGTTTAAAAGTTAGAGGAAAAAATGAAAATCATAATATTTTACCATTGTCTTTTTTTGTTTTTTAATAGTCAGGCGTGATTACAAGGTAGTATCTGTTTAGAACTTTCTTAACCTATTGACAAAGCACATACACCCTGCAGACGTAGTTGCTCGAATCCAAGACCTCTAGGGAGAACAACATGCTGATAAAAAATTATAAAATGATAGATAATCTCTTTTTTCTCCTCTTATAATCTGAATTTGGAATGATTTGTGCTTCCGGGTAAGGATAGAAGTTGGTTGTCTTTTGCGTTTTCATTAACTTGATGCTATTGAAAATGTGGTGTGACAAGAAAGTGGTTGAAGTCCTAATGAAGTCTTCATACCTCGAAAAGGGATGAAAGATAAGGAAATCATGTAGTTCGGTCAAGCCTGCTTATTTTATTTTACCCGAACTTGAATTTTTAGAGGCAAATCTACCCAGTTATCTAAATATCATTTGTCCTTTGCAGGTGGAGGAATTGAATTCATTAGTGGATGAACTTGGAACTGTGACTGGAAAGGAAAGGGTTTTGCTTGAACAATGTAAAGATTTGTTGTCAGCGTTAGCAGCCATTCAGGTTTGTATATTTTTTTGTTTTATGTTTCAAGCTATTCTCTGCATCATGTGATACAATAGCTCCTTGTTTAAGGAGGGTTCTTAAACTTCTTTTCCATAGGTTAAGGACCGTAGTTTGAGGACACATATAATACAACATCATGTACCGACAACACACGTGTAGAACTGATCCTATTTGACCAATCACCATAAACACTAACAGTACCCCCAAGCTCATGTTTTTCCGACTGGGGTGGTCGGTGGAGGCGGCACCAAACAAGACAATAGTGGATCGGATATATCTAGGTTTAGCATCTTTTATTGACAGTTTTGGAACCACTTGTCTTCTATTTATGGTCGTGCATGTAATATTTTGCATCTGAAAGGTTAGGGGAAGTTGGTTTTTCCTCTCAACTGATTTCTGTATACAAGAAATCTTTCAATGTTTTACTTTTCTAGCCATTTTAGGTAAAAGAAAGCAATGTATATGTAAATATGTTGTTCATGAGATAACCAATGTATTTCAATGCCGATATTAATTGATCATCTGAGTACGAACAGCTATGCTGGAATTTCTTTCAGCGTTTCATTGCAAGTAAGCTGACATAACAGTTACCAGGAACATGGTGAAGATTTCATGGTTAGGTAAATCATGCTCCCTTTAACTCGTATGCATGTTTTGAAGTTGCAGAGCGAGCACCAGACTCGGATGATAGCTGGCAAATGCTGTCGTGTATTAACAGATGCTCTATGCTTCGCTCCTTACACGAAGGGAATAAGATACATTAGCTTTTAATGTTACAGCAGACATGGATTTAGAAAATGATGTTATAGAAAACTCTGATCTGGGCATCTCTATTTTCTTATTTCAGGCGTCAAGATCAATTGGTGATGCTTACCCGAGTTTTAGAGATCCAATTCGGAAACCCTGTTCCTCTTAAAACACCTGTTATTACATCTGAACCCTCCATCAATATTCGAAACTTAATATTGGAACCTATTCCTGATCTTTGCATCGGTGACGGTATACGATTAAGCTGCAGTAAACATTGTTTTCCAGAACCCTTATGAAATTTGTAGTCTCATTTATATCCCTCAAAGCAAACTAAACCTATATATAGCACTTGGGTAATGGTTTTTGAAACTAGATCAATAAAAAGATAAAAGATTTAGAAGTGACCCGGACTTATATAAGCCATTTATATACAGCTTTTGTAGAATCAAAAGATCCGAGAATGATAACAATGCATACACTTTGAAGGCACTAGAAATATTGCATTAACCGTACGAAACAAAACTCTTAAGAAAGTACCTCTGAACGCAAGTAGCAGTGCTAAAAAACAGTATTAATCTAAGGCAAAAAAACATGGTTTTCTGAACCCTATTTTCTGAACCCTCTCTCTTGAATTCATCGGAGAAAGTGAGGACTAATCAACCCAGCAATTTCAAGAAATCCGATGCGATCTTTCCCTCCGAATATCTTCTTCAGCTTCTCATCACAATTTATAATCTTCTTGTTTTCAGGGTCCTAAAGAAATGTCACAAGGATCCAGGAAAGAACCAAGTCAATTACTTTATCGGTATGATTCAGAGCATGAGTACATATTCAATTTCTACAACCACAACACCGAGGACAAAGGAAAGTGAAGATCAAACCCTGATGACTACATTTCACAAGCTCTTTAATTGCATTAAAAACCAAAATTTCATGCATCACTCACAAAGTAGTCAGTTGAGATTAGCTCAATTACATATTCAAATGTCACACAAATATACGTACCCTAAACATCTCTCAATCAGAAAGATTTCTGAGACATCAGCTTCCCACAAACAATTCTTAGTAGTAGTAGTAGTCAGCAGCATTTCATAAATCCGAACAATATAAAAGAAATTGCATAACTTTAACTAGTCATTATGATGAATGTCACTAGGATGATCGCTCGATGGAGTCGAGTTAAGTCAAAAAATTTCGAGTTATTCGAGTTAACAGTCTTATATTACAACTCGAAGTTGACTTGAAATTTTTTCGAATTGAGTCGAATTTAAAAATTCGAGTCGAGCCGCATTTTCGAGTTTCTATTTAAATTTGATTGTAAAAATTTATAATATTATGATATTATTTTATTCCAATTTAAGTGGTTTTCTATAAATATATACAATACATATATATTTCTTCATATTTTCTTTTTCATATGTGATATACATATATTATACATAGTTGAGGGACTCGACGCAAACTTGAAAATCAATCTACTAATTACCAAAAAATTCGAGTTATTATTCGAGTTGTATTTTACAACACGATTTGAGCTTCAATTTTTTTGAGTCGAGTCAAGTTTATAAAATTACAAATCGAAGTTAATTCAAGTCAAGTTTTCTCGAGTTGAGTCAACTCGAAAAAATCGGTTTTTTGAGTCGAGCTTTTCTTACCCCTAAATGTCACAGGGGTAGGCAACAGGTCGAGGCATTAAATTCTAGGATTCAAAGCTTCCCTTTGATAAATATCCCAAACATAAAGCCTACTAACCAGAAATGATACTCTTAGACAAAGGAAACCAACTTAAGCTAAGTCATGACACAAAAAGCCCACATTGCACAGTAATCAAAGAAATTGCACATAGTTATCTTCGTTAAACTTCACTTGCATAAACTCATCTAGAAAAACCAAGTTTCAAATTCCTAAATGTTCAAGGCAGATAGATAAAACATTGAAATGCAAGCAAGAACCCAATAGAACTACCCTAATTTCAAACCAATATATGAATAAAACAGAATTCATAAACAGAAAAATTTTATTCAGGATATTGTAAACAAACATACTCAACAATTGGAAAATTATATATTCAAAGCAACTAGAAATAACAGAGACAATGGACCTTAAGATTATATATATTCACACTCACGACAATCAAACACAAAATCCATTTTAGGATATAATAAATGTTTTAAAGAGGAGGAGAAAAAGTGAAAATAATAAAGAAAATGGACCTGGAGATTGTGCTCTTTAATGTAAGCCCAAATCAGCTTAAGAGCTTGAGTTCGAGAAATTTCGGGAACTCCGACGACAGCCTGCATCTCAGGCGTAACACTACGCGGCTTCGTGATGCCGCGTGGCGTACGGGTTCCGGTGGCAGCCTTTGAAGCGGTGGCTAGAGTCACAGTTCGTACCATGCGCACATTAGTGGGAAGGGGGAGACGCGTAGAGGAGGGGGATTTGGGAGAGAAGGAGAGGGTTTGGGGCGAAACAAAAGTGGAAAGAAAAGCCGAAGAGGCAGCCATTGTTTTTTCCCTCTTTGATTGTTTGGACGAAGAAGGTGAAGGCAAGAGGGCTTTGCGTTATCCTCTTGTTTTTGAATTTTAAGGGTTTGTACATATTTATAGCAAGGACAAAAGTTTTTCGGTGTTAATTTATTCAGAAATACCTATGTTTAATCAAAATTATGATGAGCCCAAACTCCATGTAAATGGCCGGCATCATTGTTCATATAACTCCCCCCCTTCCAACCCAACCCAACACACAAAAAATTATCCCGCTAACTTGAAAATAGATGATACTAATAACGTAATTATATTGAGGCTTAAACGTTAAAAAGGTGTCTAATGTATGTCTTTTTTTAGTTTGATGTCTTTTAATTTGGTGTTTAATATTTTATTTCGTAATTCACTTTAGGTTAGGTTGTAACATACTGTTAATTTATGCGTTAAATATCACTTCACATTTGTTTAATATTAAAAAAATAATTTTTTTAATTAAAATAATAATTAATTAATCAATGAAAATTGAAAAAATTAAAAACATGTTGCCTCCACCCACCTCCTCCTCTGACTCCCTTCTTCTTCCACCACCATCTCTATCTTCCTCTTCACTCTCTTCTCCCTACTTCCCTTGTTACATCAAAACGAATTTCTAATAACCAAACAAGAAAAACAAACTCTCTCCGTTTGTTTCTTTTACTTTGAATCTTTGAACAAAAGTGGATTTTCGTTGCCTTACAAGGAAAGAGCTCTAGTTTCTTTGCAAGGGAAACAAAATCTCCATGGTTGAAGCTCTCAAAGTGCTTAAGCTGGTAAGCATTTTTCGCTCTTTTGGATTTGCATCACTATTCTTTGTTTCAAGCTTTGAAATACTTGTTTATTTTAAGCCTATCTTGCTCTCTTCTTCTTCTTCTTCTTCTTCTTCTTCTTCTTCTTCTTCTTCTTCTTCTTCTTCTTCTTCTTCTTTTCTTAATTTGTGTATTGGAATATCATATCTGGAATTGTGAATTTTTATTTGATTGATGTTATAAAATATCTTATGTCAATCAATTTCGTGGGTCTTAAGTTTCTGCAACTTCCAATGAGTCCTTTTTTTTTCTAATGAAATTTTAAACATTTTTTGGAGTCCATGCGATTATGCATAGATAATTGAAAGTTGAACAAAGTGACAATAAAGAACAAGTATCCTCTTCCGAGGATTGATGATTTGTTTGATCAATTGAAAGGTGCAACAATGTTCTCTAAGATTAATCTTCGATCTGGGTACCATCAATTGAAGATTAAATAGGTAGATATTCATAAGACAACTTTTTGGACTCGGTATGGACTTTATGAGTTTGTGATGATGCCATTCAGTTTGCTAATACTCCTGCAGCATATATGGATTTGATGAACTGAGTATTTCAGCCATATTTGGATCAAGTTTTGGTGGTTTTTATTGATGATATTTTCGGTGTACTCAAAAACAAAAGAGGAGCATGATGATCATCTTCACATTATTCTTCAGACTCTTCGAGAGAAAAAGTTGTACGTCAAGTTGTTAAAGTGTGAATTCTGGTTGATAGAAGTTGTTTTTCTTGACCATGTTGTCTCGGCAGAAAGCATAAGAAAAAACCCCAAGAAAATTTAGGCCATAATCGAATGGAAACCCCAAAGAAAGTCTCAAAAGTTAAGAGTTTCTTAGGTCTTGTCGGTTACTATTGAAAGTTCGTGAAGAACTTTTCGATGATAGCGTCACCGCTAACCCAGTTTTTAAGGAAAGATGTGTCTTTTGTTTGGACAGAGAATTGCAAGAGAGTTTTGAAATGCTAAAAAATATCTTAACAGAGGCACCCATACTAGTACAACCAGAATCTAGTAAAGATTATATGGATTTTAGTGATGCATCTCATAATGGTTTGGGATGTGTGCTTATGCAAGATTCTAAAGTTATGGCCTATGCTTCAAGACAATTAAAGAATCATTAGAGAAATTATCTAACACATGACCTTGAATTGGCAGCGGCCATGTTCACTCTTAAGATTTGGCGTCATTATCTTTATGGAGAGCGGTGCTACATTTAACAGATCACAAAAGTCTAAAGTACTTGTTGACGCAAAAAGAGTTGAACTTGAGACAGAGAATATGGATAGAACTCTTAAAGGATTATGATTTGATCATCGACTATCATCCAGGAAAGGTTTATGTGGTAGTTGATGCACTTAGCCTAAAGATTTTTGTAGCCTTGTGAGCTTTGGATACGCGTTTATCCCTAAAGAAAGATGGCGCCTTCACTGCAGAAATAAAGTTAAAGCCGACGTTCTTGGATAAAATAAAAGAACTACAAGAGAAAGATGAAAAGTGTTTAGCAAGATTTAGGCAAACAAAAAAAGGCGAGACTAAGGATTTTGAGGTTAGGTCTGATGGATGTTGTACTATCGAGGGAGACTTTGCATCCCCGACGAAAAAAATGCTTAAAATTAGATACAATACACGGACTTAAAACCCATTGGAAGCAAACGAAGACTTGGAACTGAATCATGGGGGAGTGGAACACAGACTTGAGAGATTTTTTGGAGGAGAAGATATGGAAAATGGAGGCAAGAGGATGGATGAGGCGGAAGTAAGGGTGGTGGCGGAAGAAGAAGGGAGCCAGAGGAGACGATGGGTGGTGAGGATGAGGATACATGATTTTAAGGTGGGGGTAGAAGCAACAGGTTTTTAACTTTTAATTTTTTTAATTTCCATTAATTAATTTTTTATTATTTTAATTAGAGAATTCATTTTTTAATATTAAACAAATGTCATGTGGTATTTAATAACCGAAATTAATGATCCATCACGACGGTCGTAATGACAATGGGTCGGGTCGGGTCAGGTTTTTGGGCCACCAGACCCAACCCGAGAAGAAAGGGTTCTCCACCCGTGACCCGACCCGACCCGACAAAATTAATGTTTCACCCGACCCGACCCGACCCGAATATATGACTTAGAAACCCGACCCGACCCGAAATAAAAAAAAATTTAATTCAATGAAAACAGTGACTTAATTGAAAAAAATTATATATGGAGGGATATTATTGTAATTATCCCTAAATATATAAGATAAAATTATATATATTTTTTGGGTCGAGTCGGGTCGGATTTTTTTACCCTAAACCCGACCCGACCCGAACAGTGCATTTAAAAAAGACCCGACCCGAACCCGAAATTTTTTTAAAAAAATCCGACCCGATCGGGTCGGGTCGGGTCGGAACCCATCAGATTCGGGTTGAGTTGCCATCCCTATCACGACCTAACCCAAACTGAGATACGGAACAAAACTGTAGGCACCAAACTGAAACGAAAAAAATATTATACACTAAACTAAAAAAAAAGCATATGTTGAGCACCTTTTTGACGTTTAAGCCCTATATTTATCACATGCATATAATAAATTTAAGAATAAAGTGTGTATATATTATTGAGTATTTTTAGGCTTAAATATAAAAAGGTGTACACCGTATGCTATTTTTTTAGTTCAGTACCGAACGTTTATTTCGTTCCAGTTTGGTACCTAATGTTTCATTCCGTAACTCAAATTGAGTCATGCCGTGACAGACCACTAAGTTTGATTGTTAACCCATTAAAAATACCACGTGGTATTTTTTTAATATTAAAAAGTGAATTTTGTAATTAAAATAATAACAAAAACTAATTCCAAATGAAAAATTAAAAAATTAAATCCTTTTAATTTAACTTTTTACCCTTTAACCCTAAATCATTTTCCCTCTCTTCCCCATCACTCTCTTCTCAATCCTTCTCCACCATTTTTCTTAAATTGAATTCAAGAACTGATTCCCTGTGAAGCTTCAGTTCAGCTTCTTTCAAGAACTTCAACCTCGGCGAAGATGATGGACTTAACCTGTCGAAATCTTCATCACTCCGTGATTAAAACAAAAGGTTGAATCAGAATTGATGAGCGAAACAATCATCGATTGGAGTTAGCAGGGGAGTTAAAACGGTGGAGAAGCAAAAGGGGTTAAATATGGGGTTTTAAGACACTCCAAATCCTCCATTGTTTCTTCAACAATTGTGAAGAGAAACTCAGGTTGCTGCTCATCATTTCCATTCCTATGGTCCCCATCCAAAGGCTTCAACTTTATATCTTTGTTTGGTTGCTTATGATGATGGTATTGTTGTTCTTCTGCAAATCTAATCTCTTGAGGAGTGTTAGGCTATAGCAAGACTTACTATGCTCTTGCTAGCATTATAGTATAACCATCAAACAGTTATCATTGGGCGCCAAAGTTAGTTAGTTTGTTATAATTGGTTAAGCTTGATAGTCTTGCATTGTTCACTATTAAAGTGATGTATCAGAAAGTGTACAAACCACGTATTCAATATATCCCTTTCATATACAGTCTCATATTCAGTTTCTTAATATGGTATATTTCGCCATTGGTCTTGGGGTTTCTTGAAAAACTCTTGCTGCGCGATTCTTGCTTGGTGTTTCAATGGAGTCGTCCATAAGTACGAGCTCTCTCATTTCATATACAGTCTCATATTCAGTTTCTTAATAGGTATATTTCGCCATTGGTCTTGGGGTTTCTTGAAAAACTCTTGCGCGATTCTTGCTTGGTGTTTCAATGGAGTCGTCCATAAGTACGAGCTTCTCTCATAAGAAAATCAGCGTTGTTCTTGATGAGATGAACTACCTTCTGTGGAAGCAGCAGATTCTGCTCACCGTAAGGAGTCACCGTCTTGAGCGCTTGTTGACCGGAGCTCTACAATTACCACCGGAGACGATTCTTGATGATACCGGTGCGATTCGTCAACGATGCATTGAGGATTTTATGCGCAGAGATGCGCTTGCTTCGTGGCTCCTGTCACCATTAGCTCTCATCTTCTTCCTCATTTTGTTGGTGCCGAATCTGCAGCTGCAGTATGGAGTGTTGTGCAACAACTATTTGCGAGCAGATCCACGACGGCTGCTATGAGTTTACACTGCAAGTTACAGTCGCTTAGGAAGGGAAATGATAACATGCGAGTGTATCTCACTCGTGTAAAAGAGGTATGTGATGCACTTGCCTCGTGTGTAGTGCAGTTTCGCATGT